TTGGTACCAGGGATCGAACTCGGGTCTTTGCGCTTGCACAGCAGGTGGCAAAACCACTGAGCTAAATCCCCGGCCCTTAACATACTAAATTCTTTCCATGATTCTGGTCACAAACTTAATTTGTCACAAACGGAATTAAATTTCCCCAAAAGGTCAGCATTGAACCTAACCAGCTATGCATGGTAGCACACACCTATAATCCCAGCACTCAGAAGGCTGAGGCAGAAGGATCACTTGAAGTTGGAGGCCAGCCTGGGCTTCACAGTGAGTTCAAGGCCAGCCTGAACTACATGGTGAGACCCTGTCTCAATGGTTAAATTCAAGACTAACAACTGTTCGCTGTCATGAGAAATCTTAGTATGGAACAGGAACATCATCTGATTGATCACAGGATTCTCTCTCATCCAAGGCAGCTGGTGGCCCTGTGCTAGCATCCCCATCCAAAGCAGAGGACACCCCAGATGTGCCCTGTGTTTCCAGCCACACAAGAGTGAATCCAGGGCTCCGTGAATACATCTCAGGCTTTTATTGAGATGGGGCAGGCCTGGCCAAGGCGGCAGAAGGTCACTGTCCCAGCCGGCCCAGGCCCTCCACCGCATGGGTAACAGCCTCGGACACAGTGTGGGTCACCTTCTCTGTGACTTCCTTCATCACTTTGTCCCCCGACTCCTGGGCTTGCTTTAAGGCATCAGAGATGGCTGTCAGGAAGAAAGAAGAAAGCCATGTGGGTGGCCCTCACTTTGCCAATGTCACCTGGGGTGACCTGGGGGTGGGGACTCAGGAGCAGCCCCAAGGACGGAGGGCCGAAGATGAGCTCAGATTGGCTTTATTCCCCACAACTCTGTGTGGATGAGTGCACAGGAGGGTGACTGCTCACTGACTGAAGGGTGCACCAGCAGGGCCTGGCCTGGTCAGATAAGGAAGGGGTCACCTCCCCTTCGTCCTCCCTCCCTGTCTCAGGGCTTGCTCACCCCTCTCCCTACTTCCTTCCAACCTTCTTCGTTCCAGCAGTTGCACTGGGCCTGGAAGCCAGGACCTCCCAAATGCCAGGCAAGAGCTCCAGCCGAGCCGCCCCAGCCCTCACCCGGTCCTTTGCTGCCTCCCTCCCATTGTCCGCGGGCCTCCGCACCTTTCTCCCCGGCCTCCTTGGCATGCTCCACCACCTCCTTCACCACCTCTTCCACGGCGTGAACTGGAACAAGGAGACAGCTCAGGGGG